GCCTAGTTGTAAGTGTTGCACACAGAGATTATGGTAACTGGCTCATAGCAAGTGCTCACTAAATGGTTACTATAATTAAAAAAAATTTTATGCACACAAGAGCTGGAGTACAGGCTAGAAGTGTGGTAGGTGGGGCGAGAGAACTCACCAGAGAGCAGAGAGCAGAACAGGCAGACTGACTGAAATACACCGCTGAGGGGAGCAGCAGGTAAGACAGGAGAGGTCTGCTGTGCCATGCTCCCGGACTGGGGATCTAACTCATGCCGCAGTGGCTGCAGAGAGGTTCATAGTGCTGCGCTTAAATCCCTTGCACCGCAAGGGAGGCCCCAGTTACTATAATTTTTTCAGCATATCATTACTCAACCAATTCATACTCAACCAACTTATACTGATTCTCAAAAGCCCATCAGATCAAAAACAATTGATTCAAAAACTGTACAGTTGCTTTTATATATTTTGGCAAAAGGTGCGGGCCTAGGCAAGCTATACATTTTTATACTTTGTGTTTTTTATACATTTTTATAAATTGTGTTTATCACATCAAGATACATCTTCGCAGGCAGGCTCTAGAAGGGATGGAAGAGCTTATCTTGAGTGAAGGAGTCAATATCGACATTGCCCTTACAAGGGGCACCATAGCAAGTTGACAGTTATACCCAGTGGAGCAAGACTTTGCCCACCCCGACTCCAAATCTGCAGGAAGCAGACACTTCTTTGCAAGTAAAAGGAAAGGGGACGTGGGAGAAACTCTGCATGGTTGACTGCACACATCCCACTCTTGGGCCCATCCTCTGCTAGGTCTGACCTTGGGGCCGCAGTGAAGTGCTGACTCTCCGTAGTGCAGGCGTTCTTCGGGAAGTGGGTAGCGCAGGACTCCTGGTTCATGGCACTAGCATCATTAATTTGTGCAAAACCCTTTTTGTGTTTTATTTATTCATGCATTGTTTATCCCCATTCCCACTCCCTTTCCTCCTCATACAAAAGTGTTCCATTGCAGTGGGCTCCATATGCGTCTTTTTGTGGTTTGCCTATATCCTGGCTAACTTTGTATTGTTTTCGTGCACACGTATTTTCCATTAATGTAAATGACTCTGTATGAACTTGTTTTCACTTGAGCATTGTTTTTCAAGATTTAGCCTAGTTGCTGGTGGCCTGTTGCTCTGAACTGCTGTGGAGGAAGCAATGAGTCAAGGGCTTTTTTTTTTT